TTTAATGTTTTAAGTTGTCTGGGTGTCCCATCACTAATCAGGGGCATTCCAGTAACTTCCTGTATCATTGTACTACATCATAATATAAATAATAGTACTGTCGTCTGAGTAGTTCAGTTCTACATTCACAGCATATTAGTGGTGTTCTTCTCCTCTTCTCTAATTCAAGTACAACTCTCAAGATAACAGACTAAATTAAGGGGAGTGGTTTGGGTTGGCCACCTCCCATTTTTGATAAACTGAGCTGTGAGCAGATCCCTAGTGAAAAGACAAAGGAACCACCATTGAATTTTTGTCTTATAATTTGCGTTTTTAACTAATGATTAGGGGCATGCCCCCTTATAAAAAATGATAGATCCACTAGTTATTTCCCAATTAAGAAAATCTTCTTATTAATTTATTTCAATGCAAAATGAAATAAATCTACTATTAGCCTTTAAATACTCGTACAGTAGTGGATCAGGGTATGCAACGAGCAGAAGTCATGATAAAAGGTYCTGGTCTCGGAAGAGATGCAGCATTACGAGCCATTCGTAGAAGTGGTCTACAATTAAGTTTTGTACGGGACGTAACCCCTATGCCACATAATGGATGTAGACCTCCTAAAAAAAGACGTGTGTAGAAATAAGACCTCCTAAAAAAAGACGTGTGTAGAAATAAGAATGGAACAGATTTCAAGAGAAATAAATGATTCAATGATCTGATCAAATAATATTACTATGGTTCGAGAGGAAATAGCAGTATCAATTTACCAATTTTTTTTTGCATTTTAAAATAGCACATAAATAATGACACAGGTTGAAAGTAGGAATGGCTAAAGAATGAACTCAGCAGGGAGTCAAAGGAATCAGTTGGATCTATCACTTGATTCAGACAAAAGGAACCACCACAGTGACTTGGTCCCCATGCTTGGGAGTGGAGTCAACTATGGGAAGTTTTGGAATTAACTCAATCAACTTGGGAGTCAGCAAGCCATGTTTGGAAAGTGAAAGATTAATACCTAAATCGGGGTATTTAAAAGAAAACGTGCCATATATAAAGAACATATTACCTGTTTTGTGGAAATTCCAGACTGTAAATATGCTCGAAGTTAATTACCTAGCATTCTTTAGTCAAATATTGAGCAAATCAGCAAAGCAAAACAGATAACCATATTTTGGTCTTGTGTAATGCTTTTAGATGCACTGCTAAGTTCATGAGCTGATGGTGCACCATGTTGGAAAATAATATAACAGGGTGGTGCAGTTAGCCTAGCACGGAGTCCTTGTGTTATAACCAACTACATGCTATATTGACAAATAAGGCTTGGAAGTTATAAATGTTTCCAGATTTTCCTTTTTTCTCAATGTTGCACCTTATTCCATGAGTTGGTAAATTACTTTTTATGACATCATTTAATTTTTTGATAAGTTTATCTCAGAATTTAATCAATAATGTGAAATGCTGCAGATTATGGGATCGGATGAAGATAACTTTCCTGCCACTAGGAAAGTGCAACATGACATATGGCTCCATCAACATCCCTCAAGCTGTAGTGATCCTCATGTGAGGTTTCTTGTTGCAGACTGGGAGACACTGCCTGGATTTGGTATTGGAGCCCAATTTGCTGGAATGTGTGGGCTTCTTGCTATTGCAATTAATGAAAAGCGAGTTCTTGTTACCAACTACTATAACCGGGCTGACCATGATGGTTGCAAAGGTATCATCATAGTTATGAACATTATGGTAGTAAAGAAGACTTGCATTCTATTGGACAATTCATTTTCACATTGGCTTAAAAACCTATGGTTACCATATGTTTGAATAATGTTACAGTTTAGAATTGCCGAAACTTTTTTCAGAATTCCCAAGGGTTAAAATTTCACAATGTATCGGAGCATATCGGCTGATACATATCGTATCAGTGACCCTCCAGTATGCCCCTACAGTAAGTGTTTCAGGGGGTAGAGAGCCCCCCCCCCCCCGAACAGGTTTGAAAAAAACAAAACTAAAAAAGCAGCCAAACATACAGGCTGATACGCCCCATCTGGCATATCGGCCTGTATCAATATTTAGAACCTTGAATACCATACTTTTATGATTATAAAAACAAAATATAACTTGAACATGCCTTTGTAGGTTCATCACGCTCTCAGTGGTCTTGCTACTTCTTTCCTGAAACATCTATAGAGTGCAAGAACCGTGCATTTGAACTTATGGCAAGGAAAGAAGCTTGGGAGAAAGGAATTGTAACAGGGAAAGACAATTACACTTCAAAGGAAATATGGGCTGGACGGATTCCCAGGTAAGTTATTGCATTGTCTAACCATCTTTTGACAAACTGCACAGAGTCAAGTAGATATATATTCTTTTAATTTTATTATAATTTTTTCTCCCTCAATTCAGAATCTGGGGTGAGCCTTGGAATTACTTGCAACCAACAACTGAGATAAATGGAAGTTTGATTACTTATCATCGCAAAATGGATCGTAGGTGGTGGCGAGCACAGGTATGAGCAGCAGTTTGTATAGAAATATAAGAAAGATTCCCTCTTTTCTATGAGCTGTAGTAATATTCCTAATGTGTGCAGTTGAATAATAAATCTAAGATCTCCCCTGTAGGCAGGCATTTTATTTATCTTCTCATAACCTATTCTATGCTACCTGGATGTGACAAGGACATGGCTGGATATGGTATTCAGCTACAAATATTTACACAGAAAATTGAGGTATCCAACATGATATGACACCCTTGTATGGGTATCTGGGTATCATAGCTCATAATTATTCTACTCTTGTAATATTGCTGTACCAAGTCTAGCCTCTCAGTATGTATTCAGAAACCATTAGTGATATAGGGTCATAATTTTTTTAGGCATTATATCCTTTTTTTTTAATCTTTATGTATTATAAGTCCTAATTGTGTTTACATTGTTACTTCTGAGTTATGTTCCTTATTACCAAATCTCTGACATCTTGCTTTGAGTTAACATCTAGTAATTGGTCCACATTGTTATTTTACAGGCTGTTCGTTATCTAATGAGGTTTCATAGTGAGTATACTTGCCATTTGTTAAATATTGCCCGACATGAGGCATTCGGACTGCAGGCTGCAAAATTGGTCCTTGGTAGTCGTCTTGGGAATTGGCCCCAGGTCTGTCAATTATATTCCCTTGTTTTATTTTTCCTTTTTGTTATATTGTAGATATATAAATCAAGGATGAAACTACTGGTACTATCAGCTTTCCTTTTAGCCTTTTGCAGATACAATATAACATGCATGAGAATACACATAAATGTTCGGTTATTATTTATATTAATTGATACATATGCTAGACTGGTTAACTAGAACTTTTTTTGATGAATAATAATAAGTTTATTGATTCAGAAGCAAATTAGAGTGAGTTCATACATCATCCCAACGAGAGGCGCGAGCTGCAGCCCCTCCTTGAAACTTACAAGTAAACTAGGAAAGAAAAACAAGAATCACAACTGA